TTTTTTTTTTGTACGATGTCGTCGCGCCGTTTTAAATCATCAACTGCCACAGATGCGTTTCAGGCCGGATGCTAAAATACGAGGGCGGGGGGGGGGACCGAACACGCCGTGGCGAACAATATGACGCGAAATAAGAAATGCGTCCGTCAGTGCGCCGTCCTACTCCCGAGATCGCATCCACGCGCTCTCTTCCGTCTCCTTCCCATGTAAAAATGGATCGTCCTTCACGGTGACACGCTGAAAATAACAAACGCGCCTTGGTTTCCGCAGGCTGGTATCGAGGATTCATCTTGAAGAATCCAATCCTCAAGGTAGGCCGTGCTCGGACATTGAACTCCCCTAACCCGCTGAACCGGCGAACCTGAGCCGACGCCCGGGCCTCGCCCGCTCGATTGATCATGTGACCAAGTGCGGCGTGCGTCCGCAGGGCATCTTCCCGACCAGTTACATCCACCTGAAGAACGCCAACGTCAAGAACAAAGGGCAATTTGAGACGGTCCTTCCCGTTGAGGACTCGGTCATCACCGAGATGACGTTGACGCTGCGCGACTGGGGGGCCATGTGGAAGCAGCTCTATGTGGTACCGATTCCTTTTTGCTCGAGGGAGTTTTTCTTTGATCCCGTTCGTTTCAATCGGCAAAAGGGATTTTACGCACATTCGCGAGTCGCTTCGATGTTGTCGGTGACCCGGGAAGTTATCCGGGGCGCCGATGAAAGCGAGCGGATGAATATTTACACACCAGAGTGGCGAAAAGCAACGGGACGCTGAGGCTCATTTGCACAAATCCCTTCAAAGTTGCACATTTGGATTCAGTGGGATGAAAGTTTCATATTTGCTGCCAGATTGTTTTTCGCGCGATCTGCCGCGTTTGATGTCACAAGCGTTCGTTCCCGCCTCTGATCCCATCCCGCCAGAAGAACGAGGGGGATTTGTTCCACCGCCTTTGGCACGTGATGAATGAGATCTTGGACCTGAGGAGGCAAGTGCTGGTGGGCCACCTCACCCACGACCGCATGAGGGACGTCAAGCAGCACATCACGGCCCGACTGGACTGGGGTAACGAGTGAGTCCAAGAACCCGCTCGCTCGTCTTTGCCGCCGATGCCGTCGCGTCAACTCCTCGGTGGAGCGCGCTGGCGTCTTCCACCTGTCTTGTTTCCACCTCAGTGCCGCCTTGGCGCTAAATAAATGATCGCTCCAAACTTGTCGCTCGCTTTGGGCCCGTTGCTCCGTATTTCGTGACAGCCCTTTGGGGTCTTTCTGGGACATTTGAGAAGCAAGGCTAAGAAGCACTCGGTCGGAAACATACGCTCGGTTGCTTTTGCGGACTTTTTTCGGGTTGTCGTCCATCTGCGCCGTGCGCTCCCGCTATGAATCCAGTCGACCCTTTGGTGTCCTTTGTCTGCAGGCAACTGGGTTTGGACCTGGTCCCGAGACAGGAGTTCAGCATGGTGGACCCGGACGAAATCAGCGTGACGGAGCTCTACAGACTGGTGGGTGCTCCCTCGGCCGAGCTTTTCGAAGCCACGCTACTTCTCGGATCGGGATTCGGCAGGAAGGCGAAACTTTCGGAATGGTACAATTCGGGCCTGACCAATCTCTTAATTCCTATCGTGTGGGACATGGCAAATTGGCATCGAACCAATCATGTCAACTGAAGAATTTGAAGCGGGGCCCTTCCACATTCCGTCATTCTTTGAACGTCGTTTGAGCCGAAAAGTCAAATCGCTGCATTTTTTATCAAAGCCGGAGCTTGATTGATTTTGACAACGTTAGACTTCTCAGACTTCGGCGTGCTTCCCCTGCTTCTCCTTCACATCTTCTCGGAGCGCTGTTACCATGACAACCACTCGTCTGATACACTGTAGGGAGAAATCTTGCACACACACACACACACACACAGGGTGAGATGACTTTCCTCTCACAGGGGTAATTGAAGCGCTTAATCCATCTGCTTCTTTTTGTTGTTGTTGTTGTTGTCGTCGTCTGCGCAGACAAAAGCAAGCACCGCAGGGCGCAAGCTTCAATGTACCTCCCGCCAAGTGGCGTTTATAAAACCAGCACGTTTGACTCCATCGGGACACAGTGGCCCGCTCGCAGCCACGTCAAATCCTTGTTTTGGAGATTCGGGGGATTGATTCAATTGGGATTGAGTGACGTGGGAGGCTTCCACGTTGATCGTTGAGAACGAAAAGGGTCTTCAAAACGTAAATACATCAAATGATGATGAATAAATGCGATTTGCTGGTCTTGAGATTGTTCCGTCAATGGGATTAGCTGTGTTTGATTTGCTCTCATCCCGCATCTTGAGGATTTGCCGCTCGTCGATTGAGCTTTGTTACCCTCAACAAATCCATCCGAACGCTTTCCCACACCCGTCTCGTCTCCAAAAGTGAATTCCGCTTTCCCCACTCCTTGGCAGATGGAGCATCGGCATCGCAAGAAGGAGACGCCGACGCCCGCCAGCACCCATCACTTGTTTGTCCACGTCAAGAGCCTGATGAGTGCTAACCTGGGGGAGGAGCTCGAGGTCTTCTTCCACATTTATGACGGGCGGGAGACCCGGCCACTCAGGTATGGGCTCGCTCTCTGGGCGGGGGGGGTGATTTTGTAGATGACCAATTTGGGTCACGGGTGATGCATTCCGTGACGTTTTGAGCTTGCCAATGAGGCCTCGTTTGCGTCTACGCCACGATTGCATCACTTGTCTTCGAGGAGGAGGGGGGAAAGAAAAAAAAAAAAACCATCCCTGGCGCCCTGCCAGAGTTGTCTGGCGCTGTCTGGCGGCGCGAGTAAACAGACACACACATTTCCACTGGCCGGCTGGCAGGGAGCCATTTCACCGCTTGACTCCGGAGCCGGGCGGGCGCTTTCCAGATGGGGGTCCGACCCGTTGCCTCAGCACCGTGCCAACGCCGCCCGTTCCCTTGCAGAGCGTCATTTTCTTTGTGTCCAACGTGGCCTTTGGTGCACAATGCCGAAGCCTAAACACACAACTGTGACCTTTTTCCGTATTTTAATCGTCACGTTTTCAAGCACGCTCCCCTTTTTGGGTCTGCTCATGCCAGCGCGAGGTAACACAACTCATGTTTTGCCCAACCGGTCCGATCCCCCGTCCCCCCCCCCCCCCGAGTTCTCACTTTGCGCCGTGCCCTTGCGCGAGTTGGCGCGTTGTCCGGCGCGGCGGCGCATTACAAGGCTTTCTCCGCGCTTATCGCGCCCAGTGTGAAAGTCACCTAAACGGATTAGCCCGCCGGCCTCGCCGATGGCCCAGCAGGACGCCTCCGTCGCTTCTTTTTTCATGGCCGGGCGGCAGTGCAAATGTGAGCCGTCCTTTCTGCTTTTGCCCGTCATGCGCTTTTATGTTCTGGTCATTGCTACCGATTTGAAATATTTTTTTCCCTAAGAAACGTCACAGCTGGAGTTGTACATCCAGTTAAGTACGATTGTTGTGATGCAGACAGATTGCTTTCTTTTTTATTTGATTTTTTTTTTTTCTTTTTCCATCATAATGTGTTTTTCTGCATTGACCAAGCGCCTACGGGGCCACATTGCCGATCCCATTCGTCTCCGCTTTCTCTTCTCGGTTCAGTGAAAGGTTCTTTGTCAGGCTGAATAAAAGCGGCTTGCCCAAGTCGCCGGAGAAAACGGAGAGACAGTGCACCCTCTTTGTGGTAAGTGGCGAAGGCGAAGCGTCGTCATAAATCCGTCGTCGCGTGATTGTCGTGTCCAAAAATGAGGTTTCGTGTTCCCAACAGGATCTGGGCAGCAGCGATCTGCGAAAAGATGTCTACATCGTCGTGCACATCATCAGAATAGGTGGGCGGCAACACGCTTGGGCGCGTATGATGAGCAGAAATACATCTCCCGGTTTTGGGCGCAGGGAGAATGGGCGCCGGGGAGAAGAAGAACCAGTGTAGCGTTCAGTACCGCCGCCCGTTCGGCTGCGCCGTCGTCAGCATCGCCGATCTGCTCACGGCCGACTCCAAGGACGACCACCTGCTCAAGGTTTACGCGTAAGTACGCAGCCGACGCTCCGCCGCCTGTTTCTCGGAAAACGTCCAGGACGACAGACTTTGGTGAGACCAAAAATAGCAAGCGATGAGATTTCTCTTTCACCATTCCTATTTATTTTATTTTATTTTTTGTATTTTCAACACTGCGTTCAATGACAATTGCACTTTTTGGTGTCTCAGGTGTAACACCGAAAGCGAGTGGCACCAAATTCATGAGAACATCATCAAAAAGGTCAATTCCAGATACAACCTGTCCGGATCCAACACGGGTAAGCCATCATCTCGAATACAATAGAAGAGGAGAAATAAACTGTCATTCCTGCTTCCTTTTGCCCTTTTTTTTTTTTTTTTTTTTTTTTAACCCGTAAGACCAAAACTTACAGAAAAAAAAAAGACTCGGAAAGAGGACCTTGAACAAAATTTCTCGCACATTAAATCGCCATATTGAGGGCAATTTTCCCGTGTCATCCTAAATCCGGCGGCGTGAGATCAGTCCGTTTCCGGCCCGTCTGAGTCACCGCGTTGTCTGCGCGAGGTTCTTCTTTCCAGGAGGGGGGGGGGGTGCTTTCAATGCCTCACGTGGCCGCCGTCTCCGCAGGAAGCTTGCAAGCGCTTGCAAAACGCATTCACGCGCTTGATATAAATAGCCGCGGACGCAGAGCGCTGAGCGTCAGCAGTTTCCCGTGACAACAGGTTGGCCGGAGACGTCCGTCCTCAAAACTGCGAAACTGGAAGCATGACAAAGATCCCGCCTGAGATTGTGCCTCGTTGTCGCATCGTACCGAGTCAGCATCTCTTTCCGCCTTCCCTCGGAGGACGAATGAGGACTCGGCCAGAAATCGGGAACGGATGTTCATTGATCCTGAGCCGTCCCTCAAGATGCGACAATGATGCTGAATACTCGCAACACGCTGAGCGATCGCATCTCGCGGCGCATTGAAAAGGGCCCAGTTTCGTAAGAGCGTTTGCGCAAGCGATGAGTCAGGCCAGGTAGTCGCTTCGGCTCTCACCTCCGCACCAGCTCACCTCCTTTGTTTTGGACTTTTTCCACGCGCTGGTGTTTTTTTGCGCGAAGAGGCGGCGGGCCGAGGCCAGCGGAGGTCGAGGACGCTTTTGTCAGCCCGGATGCTAATGAGGTCCGCTCGCCCAAATGTTTTTACCCCCAAATTTTTTTTTTTTTTTTTTTTTTTAGAGCCCGGCGCGCGTCGGACGAAATAATAACTCAGCCTCCAGTTTGAATTGCCGCCGAGAAGACGATGAGAGATACGCTTACGTAAACGATGGCGGAGCGTGACGGCCTGTGGCGCGAGCCGCAGAAAAATGAGTCACCGCCACATTCCGAATTTCAAACAGGCCAATCCTGTCGACATCCGCTGCGCCCGCGCCGTCGTTATCTCGCCGGTTGGATGAAACGAGTGCGACTCGGCCAGCGGGCAGGTCGAAATGTATTTTGCCATCAAAACAATGTCTCGCCATTTGAAAGTTGCCGATTTTTTCAGCGCTGTGAAAGATTAGAACGACTCAATTGTGGTTCAGCTCGTCAATGCTACACAAGAGGAGCGAGAGGCCGCAATGCTCTTTACTTGTGGACTATTTTATTTTATTTTTTTTAAATAGAAAAAGACTTGCGAATGAGTCACAGGTGTTGTTTTTGTTTTGTTCTCTTTTTGTGTGTGCAGTGGGTGTTAGGTTGCACACACACACACACGCACACACACACACACACACACACACACACACACACACACACACACACACACACACACACACACAGAGCCATCCGCGGCGCTTTGTGGTTATGAATGTCGGCGTCAAGTTTTTCGCGCAGCCGCCGCGAAGAGCCGCCGGGCGACTTCTTTTCAAAGCATGTGTGTGCGTGAGACGTCTGGTTGTGTTCTCAGGGCTGGCGGTGGCTCTCCAGCTCCTCCACGGGGACATCGATCAGCTGAGGCGGGAGTACATGGTGCTCTTCACGCGCGGCGTCTCCATCACCAGGAAGCTGGGCTTCTCCGACGTCATCATGCCAGGTGGGACAGTCCGAGGCAAAACAGTGGTTTTGTGCGCTTCAAAGTTACCCCTCCGTGCAGTATCGTATTACGTCTGCATTGTATACCTTGACCTGCCTTTCAATCTCCGCAGCAGTTGCCTTGGTAACATCTTCACCCGCCGCTGGAGAGCAAATTCCACCTCATTGATTAAATATTCATCTTCAGTCTCAGGTGCACGCAGTGTAGATGGGTGCCTGTCGAGTGATGCCGATGCCTCGGGCCTCAGCGGGAAGGCACCCTTGTTGTCATGCGCCACATGACTATTCTGCAATCAAATATTGATATCTGAAGTCAAGTTTTTGGTTTTTTTTTTTCCCAGCATGGCTTTTTATTAGCTTCGTTGTGTGAAATCCTCGGAAAAGCTTCCTTTGACATACGCGGGGTGCGCTGCCTGGTCCCACAGATAAAGAGCAAGCGCAGGCCGCGAGTCCCCCAGCGCCTGACGAGCGCAGATTGATGTTGGCGCTCTTTGTCTCCGTCTGACTACAAACCTTTTTACACTCGCTGTCTGTCGCTTTCTTTGCTCTCCATTTCTGACCAAGTAAAGTCTGCCCCCCGGGCAAAGGAAACCGTCTCTCGTTTGCTCCTCTGCGAATGACTACATCAGTCTCTTCTTTTTTTTTTTCCTTTTCTGCTCGTTTGGGAAACAACCCCCCCACCCCCCTCAACCATTTCTTCTCCACTTTTTTTGTTGTTGTTGTACCCAAGGTAATTGAGTCTACACTTACCTGCCTATTATTTCTTTTTTTAATCCATTTCTGTGTGTGTGTGTGTGGGGGGGGGCGGGGGGGGGATGTTACTGAATGTGAGTCTATAGGATGGTCTTTGTTGCTATGGTTACCACTGTCAAGAGTAGGAAATCAATGTTGACCCTCGAGATGGCGTTATGATACTCTTAGCGCCCCTACGGTGGAGCTGGGCAATATACATTCAATTGTGTGTGTGTGTGTGTGTGTGTGTGTGTGTGTGTGTGTGTGTGTGTGTGTGTACAAAATGAATCAACTCATGTCAATGCTGTCAGGATGCCTGAGCACACTCTCACGCAAATGTGACCAAGCTGTTGGGAGGTCATTCGTAACACGCGTCTCGTTTGCATCATCGATTGCCCGTCTGATTTGATTGTATTTTTTTTTTTTCCCACCTTGTAGGAGAGATGCGCAATGACCTTTACGTCACACTGGAGAAAGGCGAGTTTGAAAAGGGTGGCAAGAGCGTCGCCAGGAATGTGGAGATCACCATCTACTTGCTGGACATCGATGGACAAATCCTCAAGGTGGGAAGACGGCGACGTGTTCTGGCGGTCCACGTTTTTTTCCACTTCAGGTCTGGAAGGCGGCTGAAGATGCGTTTGTCATTTCCGAAGGGAAATCGACTCTTCCCAGCACTAAACGCTTCCAATTTAAGCCCTTAGTTACCTTGACTTGTCCCTTAACGGACGCTTATTTTTAGGTGCGACCAATTCCAGAGCTCACCTCGTCATTTAAATACGGCTGACCCGGATGAGAGCCGCACCGCCGCCGTCTTGCTCATCTCCGGCCCTTCCGCTTCTGCGGTTTCCGTATCAGACAGAAAATAGAAACGCATGGAAACCACATCATGCCCATTTCAACGCATCTTTTTTTTTTTCTTCCCCCTTCAGAGTCACGTCACCGCCGGGTCGGGGGAACCGGGCGGGGATGAGTACCACTCGTTGGTGCTGTACCACAACAATAGCCCACGGTGGGCGGAGCAAATCAAGCTGCCCATCCCTGTGGACATGTTCCGGGGATCGCACGTGCGCTTTGAGTTCCGACATTGCTCCAGTAAGTCGAGTTAATGGAAAGTTGATGAAAATTCTGTCATGTTATTGAGGACTCCAGCGGGTGGGGGGGGGGGGGGGGGGGGGGGGGGGTAGAAAACATCACATATGCTCACCCAGATTGACGTGGCTCCACGCAGGAGGTACTGCAGCCTGATTACTCCCAGCGCCGCTCAGGGTCTTCTCATTAGGAGCCCAATTTAGGACTGCGTTGACACCAAACTGCCAAGTGCGAGACCTGATGCATATCAGGAGGAAAAAAAAAAAAAAACAGGACGCCCAAATTTTGAGAATCTGAAAATTGCCGTATTGGTGCACTTGTCCAGTCTATCGTGATAAACATCTTGTCAAGAAATGACGCCTCGGCGTGCCGGTGGAATGTCGCATTCAAGGCCGGAATTGAGCTCGCTAACGTCTTTTTTGCGCAGCGGCGAGAGACTAGCTCAGAATGCTTTTGTTGATGTTAGCCCGTTGACGGCGTTCTCTCCGCAGCCAAAGAGAAAGGCGAGAAGAAGCTGTTCGGCTACTCCTTTGTGCCGCTGATGCAGGAGGACGGGAGGACTCTGCCGGATGGCACCCACGAGCTCATCATCCAGAAGGTACCGGCCCGCTTGTCCTCTGAAGACGCAAAAAAAGTTGACAAAGCTTCTCTGTTTGCCCCCAATCTGATTTTGAAATCGTGCAGTCATTTCATTTGCCGGCGCGTTTTGCTTCCAGCCTCCCCGATTTAGGCCCACAAGCTATTTGTGTGCGTCTCGCAGGTTTCCTCCCAAACGGGATCGCGCAGCGTATGATTATGTGATTCACGCCTTCCGAGTGCACCCGTGTTGCCGTCTCGCTATTCGGCGCCGCCGGCTGTCACAAAGCCAAAAGCCGCGTCCACGTAAGCGGCTCTTCGAACCGTGATAGGCCGTTGAAATTCTCGCTGTGCGCAGGCTTTGAGAAGCTTGACCCGCTGTGCCTCGTCTGCGTGGCCGTATTACAGACCTGCAAACACACACACACACACGCTCATCGCCTCAAACCTTTTGGTCGTGACGCATCAAAAGCCCGGAGCAAATAAACCATCCCGAATCGTCATTTGGAGAGGTCCTGCTTGGGCTGTAATTGCAGCCTACGTCCTCAGCTGCAGGCAAAGGGTGTGCGCGCAAACCTCAGGCTCCGTGCACAATGACGCGCACGCCGCATTGATTCATTTGTCAGCCGCCGGGCTCAACAGTCACCCAACGTCTGATTTTTTTTTTTTTTTGGTGTAATTTATTTTTACCCCTCTGCTCGCTACAGGCCATCAGTGGCATTGTCAGACGGTTTCCTTGACTCGGTTGGTTGTTGTGGGGGAGCGTGTGGTTGGGTTTGTGGGGGGGTGTGGGGGGGAGGGGGGGGAGTAATGTCAGATGAAAGTTGCTGAAGAGCTCAATGAAAACTTGCATGGCCTAGTTTCCCGTCAGACCCAAAATAGATGCTGAAGCAGCAGTCCAGAGCCTGCGCCAGCTCAAGCAGCCTCAGCCGAGCGTTAAGGCAGCACGCCGAATCAATCGAACAACAGCGGTACCCCCGTCTGCGATTGTCTTACTCCAACATCAAGCCACCACACCTCCTCCCCCTAAAAAAAGCAGTACAACAACATAACCAGTTGATAATGTGATGCAGACCTTTTTTTCTATCATGCACTCGTCAAATACGCCATATGTAGGGAAAAAAAACTAAAACTGACACTAAAACGAATGAGAACTAAACAAAAATAAAGCATTATCATTTGTTTGCAAAGAATAAAAATGTGTAAATGTGCTCTAAAAAATACCTTATAACGAACTTGACTTACAATACAAACAAAATGCCGGCAACTAATATCACCCCGGTCCATATTTTTAGGGCTCATAGTTTCTTTTCTTCTGTGTCCAGTGCGACGAGAACACCAGCTTGGCGGACTGCACGCGTTACCTGAAGCTGCCTTTCTCCAAGGCCAACATCCCATCCAACAACCAGACGCTGAAAGGCACCAAGGAGTCTTTTTGGATCACCAGCTTCCTCTGCTCCACCAAGCTCACGCAAAACGGTAAAAAGCCCTTTTCGGGATTTGCGTTATTATTATTTTTTTTCTTGTCTCCATGTTGGACGCTAGCCTGATGATTTGTGGTCACACTCAGTCCGGACTGAAGTGAAGAGTCAAAAATAAAATGACTTGGCTGACTGAAGAAAACATCAACAGATATTTGAGTACTCCTGGGTATATATTATTTATCCTCTGCAAAGAACTACTGCTATAACTGAGCCTTACAGAGAAAAAAAAGTCTTCTATTATTCTCGGCGATAATTATTTTCCTCAAGTTTTGAGACCTGCCATTTGCCTTACGTATCGGGATGGAAACTGTCGCCCGACTGCTTCAACGGCCAGCGGGGCCTGGGCGGTCCGCTCCGGCTTGCGACGCTCGGTCGCAAAGTTGCTCGTCTCCTTATTGCAATTTCGACATGTCGCTTTCACAGACGTACGGAGCACGGCGACTGCTTTTGACAGACCGAAAGGTAAACTGCTCACGCACGGAAAAACGTTTCCGCGCGACGACGACGACAAAATAAAAGAGGACGTTTCAGGTTCAATCGAATCTGAAGAGACAGCTAAAAGACTCAAGCGGAATGATGTTTTATTCATGCGTACGTCGGGGGGGATGCCGGGAAATTACTTCTCATCTCTTTTGATGCGTCTTAACATGAAAACGTCAACATTTGTTTTGGATGGGCCTACGTCGGGATGCCGGAACGGGAGACGGCGGCGACGTCGCTCTCATTACCCCGCTTTGCTTTCCCCGCGTCTCGTCGCCCGTCGCTTTTTAGAATGTCACGTTCAAGCGCAGATCTGTATACGTCTGCCCTCAGGCGATATGCTCGACTTGTTGAAGTGGCGCGCGCACCCCGAGCGGATCAACGACAGCCTGTCCAAGCTGAAGGAGATCGACGGCTCGGAGATTGTCAAAGTAAGGCCGCCGCGGCAGCTGATTGATTTGTCGCTCTCGTGGCGATGAAGACCTCGGACGTCCACGTTCTCTCCCCGTTGTTTCCAGTTTCTACAAGACACTTTGGACACGCTTTTTGGTATTCTGGACGAGAGCTCCCAGAGATACGGCCTCAAGGTGTTTGACTCCCTGGTAAGTGCTCTCTTGAAATCGCGCTCGCCACCAACGCGAGAATGAAAGCGGCGGCTGCTGTCGGAAGATGGAGAGACGTCACGTATGAGAGCCCCGTCAAGCAATCGCGCCGCTCTGATTGATCTTTGTCTGGCAGCGCGTGTCCCCTGCTCGGCGAGGTGCTCAGAGCGATGAAAGGATCTGACCGGGTGACGCCTTTGTCAAGTTTCGATTTCGGGGTTTTTTTTTTTGCTTTTTTTTAGATCAACGCCAGTGGCACATCACCAAATCAATCATAACAAAATCATTATGGGCGGGTATTGATACCAGGTGTCATTTTGGGCTAATACCGGCCATATTTGAAGGTATTGGGTACATTCGAAGGCTGCTGATACCAGCCACCGATACCACAGGTGGCGCTACACTGCGGCAACATCAGAAGCTCTTTGTTCACACATATATATATATATTTTTTTTTGTGATTGTGTTAAATGAAGCAGCAACCCACTCACCATTCTTTCCTCTGTACTTCTCTCGCAGGTCCACATCATCAACCTTCTCCAAGACAGCAAGTTTCAGCATTTCAAGCCGGTCATGGACACCTACATCGAGAGCCACTTTGCGGGGGCTCTCTCATACAGGTGCGTACTGCGACGCCAGTCCAGTTTTGGATCCCGCTGACGGAACTCATCACAGGCAAAGCGGCCCGAGGGGCTCTGAGAATGCCTGCAAAATGCTTTGGCGCCCTCTTGTGGCCACTCAAAGTGGGAGGGGAGGGAGGAAAAAAAAAGGTGCTACCTTCTTATGCACTCAATTTCATAGCCTGCTGTTCAGTCTGGCTGTCGACTTCACGCTCGGTGTACCTGCTAAGATTGAGCGGTGATGTTCTGACACATGCGCACACACATACACACACACACACACACACACACGACACAAATGAACTCAAATACCTTTTTGCACCCACGTCGAGCAGAACCATTTTGAAAGATGACACCAGGATTTGAATTCGATGAATCGTTCCTCCCTTCCCGCACGAGAGTCAAAGGAATCATCGAGAGTGCCGTGTTGTGTTTTGTTTCCAAGGGACCTGATCAAAGTTCAGAAGTGGTACGTGGACCGCATTGTGGACGCCGAGCATCAGGAGCATATTCAGCAGGTGCTCAAGGTCAGCGGGCGTTCCGTCTTTGGATGACTCTTGCATCTCCGGCCCCGCAAGCAGCCGCGATGACAAATGCCTCTCAGCATTTTCCGCGGCCTGATGAAGATTTCCCGCCCCCCTTGCTCTTTCTCAGGCCAGCGAGTACATCTTCAAGTACATCGTCCAGTCCCGCCGCCTCTTCTCCTTGGCGACGGGAGGCCAGAACGAGGAGGAGTTCCGCGTCTGCATCCACGAGCTCTTCATGTCCATTCGCTTCTTCCTCTCGCAGGAAAACAAGGGCACCAGTCCGGTGGCGCAAACGCAGGCACGTCGGCCCCTTTCCCCAAACACGCGCGTTTCCCTCGCTCAAGGGCTCGCGCTCGACGCCGTTGTCATTAAATCATCTCGCGCTCCCGGCAGGGGTGGAGTCAAACTGCGCCGCCGCTTCTTTCCGTTTGACACGATTTGTCATTTGCCAGGCGGTGTTCCTGCGAACGTTCCCGGCGGTTTACGGCGAGCTCCTGAAGATTTTCACCGTGCGGGAGGTGGCCGGTTTCGTGCGGGAGACGCTGGGCAGCCTGCCCGCCATCGTCCACGCCGACTGCCCCTTGGAGGCCGTCAAGCTGCAGTGCCTGGCCAAGACGGTGGAGAGCCAACTGTACACCAACCCGGGTGAGCACCTCGCTCATCTCCGCAGCGTTTGGAGCGACGCCCTGATCCGCTTTGTCCCGGTCGTAGAATCCAGGTGCATCCTGTTGCCGGTGGTGCTGCGCATCCTGCAGGCTCACATGCAGGAGCAGAGAGACCTGGTCATGTGCGCCCGCATCCTCACCAGCATGCTGTCGCTCATCAAGAAGGAGGAGAACGGCACCTCGGTCAGTAAGACGGCAGCGGGAATTTGTCTTCCGGCAATTTCCCAGCCAACTGACCGCGAGGGCAAGATTGCTTTGTTGTTTTTTGTGCTGTCACGGTCCGTTTGACAGAGCCGCAATGGCCTCCGCGCGCTCCGCTAATGAGAAGCATCAATTTAGCAAGGGGGGCGGGGGGTGCTGTGCCACTCGGGCTGCTCCCCAGCATGCAGCAGATCTAAAGCGACGTGACAGCGGTGACAGCGAATGGGCCGACCCAGAGCATCTCCTCATTGTCGCTCTGTCCAAATTCTGTCACCTGTCTGTCTCGCCAGACACACACAAAGACACACACGACAATCTTTTTTCAAAAACTTGTGCTCTCCCCTTCTCTGCATCATTTGGGCATTTGAAATGCCTCGCCCCCCTCGGTGGCAAACTGTCCAAAATGCAGAACCCCGGTCACACCGATGCTGACGCGCTTTCTCGGCAGGAGCCGGTGATCTCGGAAGAAGTGGACCTGATCGTGGAAAGTCTGCTGGCAGTGCTGCTCAGGACCATCCTGGAAATCAGCAACCGACCGCAGCCCGCCGGGCCGGCCATGAGACTTCAGTTCCAGGATGTCACTGTATGTGTGCGCGTGTGTGTGTGCGGGCGTGTGTGTGTGTGTGTGTGTGTGTGTGTGTGTGTGTGTGTGTGTGTGTGTGTGTGTGTGTGTGTTGCTGTGCTCTCCTTTTGGCAAGTAATTATAGATTTTAAATGGAGTTGCCGCAGTGGCGACTATAATTAAGCCAACGTCATTAAGGGGGGGTTGCGGTGAGTAACGATGAGCTTGTCATCGCCACGTCCTGAAGGATGCTTGAGGAGGGGAAGGAACACTCATGTCTCCGATAAAGTCAGCTCATTCCATGCCAGCTGTTGTTCTCCAAATGGGAGAGCCCGTTTCAGTTTTTTTTTTTGAGGGGGGGGGGCACGTTTGAGGTACCTGAAACATCTCAACAATGCTTTCCAACTAAATCCCGCTTTTCTGTGTGTGCGCGCCGCCCTGCCAGGGGGAGTTTGTGGCGTGTTTGTTGGCGCTGCTGCGACAGATGAGTGACAGACACTACCAGCAGCTGCTGCAGGCGTTCGGCAGCAAAGACGACTTGAGGGTAAAAGGCACTCACTCGGCATCCCTGACTCACAGCGACGGGACCGCGGCGGTGGATGAAATCGGGAATGCTGAGAAGCACGCACTCGCGCCGAGTAATACTGGCTGACAGTCGTTTAGCTCGGGAAAAACACGTTCCAAATTTAGATTCATACAACTTTAGTGAGAGCCGTCATTGAGCTGATCGTTTTGCCAAACGGCGGGGGAAAAAAAAAAAGAAAGGAAGAGGCCGTGGGCTGGTTCATGTCAAGCCTAGTGAACGTTTACCGTCAAACTAAACATCAAACAAAGAGAATTCCATTTTGTGTGTCTAAAACAGTTGGCGTTGTCTTCTCTTGAAGTCTTGATATTATTACTTATTTTGAATCTGCAAATATGGTTTTGCGTCAGTAAAGTGGATTCCAATTTTCCAAAATTTACGGCGGCGCGAGGTGACTGTACTCACTGTACTACAATCCAGCTCGTGATGCAGCAATTACTGGAAGACATTTCTCTCTAAACACGAATGCTCCGTATTCTTCGGTGCAGGATTTCCTCCTTCAGATCTTTACGGTCTTCAGGATTCTCATCCGACCGGAGATGTTCCCGAAAGATTGGACTGTCATGCGACTGGTTACCAACAAGTAAGCGTCCCCTCCTTTTCGGTCGGCATCGTCCAACTATATTTTTGGGTCGGTTTATTGCTTACGTGAATCCCTGGGAGTGGGGGCACTTTTTTTTTTTTTTTTCCGGCAGTGCACTCTCAGCAGATTATGAAGTAAATGCCATTTGAACATCCATCTGTTTTGTTGTCACTTTCAACGAACTGTCACCGGTTCTCGTGATGAAAACACAAATGCCGTTGGCATACTTTTGAGATCGCTGTTGTCGGGGCGACTTAGGTGGCCATCTTTCATGGCTCGGCTGATCGTGGAGGCATATACTACAGATGCAGTTTCTCGTCCTCGTTCTTGTAAGTGACTCTCTGCGGTGCTTCTTACAGCGTCATTATCACCACCGTCCTCTACCTCTCTGAAGCCCTGAGGAAAAACTTTCTCAATGACAAGTTTGACTACAAGGTAAGGTAAAAACAGAAAAAGAAGCCCACAAGTGCCAAAGCAAGCCTCGAAAGAAGCTTTTTATTATTATTTTTTTTTCAAATTGCCCTTAAATCAAAGTGATGTTCAGCGGAGGCCCGTCACTTGACAGTTTTGCGTGTTTTTGCAGGTGTGGGATTCGTATTTCTACCTGTCAGTATTGTTTATCAACCAGCCCTGCCTTCAGCTGGAGTCCTTCTCTCCCTCGAAGAGGAAGAAGACGTTGGAAAAGTAAGTCTCACGCGACCAGGGGCGCGTCAACGTCACGTCACGCCGCGCTCTTGCAACCGCGCAGGTACGGAGACATGAGAGTGATGATGGGCTGCGAGATCTTCAGCATGTGGCAGAATTTAGGTGAGCCCATCCGCCGAGGCGCGTTACGCATGCGCGGGTTCAATCTTTTCCTCCCCCCGCCCCACGCCGACGTGAAATTGAACGCTCGCTGGCGCCTTCTCCAGGGGAGCACAAGTTGAACTTCATCCCGGCGATGATCGGTCCGTTCCTGGAGGTGACGCTGGTGCCGCAGCCCGACCTGAGGAACGTCATGATCCCCATTTTCCACGACATGATGGACTGGGAGCAGAGGCGCAGCGGCAATTTCAAACAGGTACAAGTCGGGCTGATGGGGGAAACTTGTGCTTCAAAAGTGGAATTCATTTTTTTTATTTTATTTATTTTTTTTTAAAGGTGGAGGCAAAGCTCATCGACAAGCTGGACAGCCTGATGTCAGAAGGCAAAGGAGATGAGACGTACAGAGAGCTCTTCAACAGCATGTGAGTTGGAGGAAAACTGGCCAGCTGGTTCGTTGATCCGAAAAAAAAAACAACATGAATTGGGTTCTTCTTCTTCTTTTTTGGGGGGTTGCTATCAACCCATCAACTGAGGAAGGCGTTGAGACTCTTCAAGCATCCTTTGAGTACGACCATAACAATAAGATTTTTTTTTTTTTGGGTCGCGCCTGTAGAGCTTTTTTTTTTCTTTTCATAACAAAGAGATGCGATAAGACGGCTTTGGTGTCCTAGCAACAATAAGCCTTGCTGGACACCAAGCAAGGGGGTGTTGTGCGCGTGTGCCGCCACGGCAAGCAAGCGCACGCTTGCTTCGGTTTTTAATGACTCTGAGATGAATCGATGGCTCGATAACAGAAAGGTGAGTGCGGGTCAGTGTTCGTCTTCACGTCGCACATTCACACACGCGTCTGCGTCCAGTCTCGGTCCACTTCGTCCTTGTCCTTTCCAGGTTTGTGCTCCTGCATGCTTTGTGCGTGCGTGTGTGTGCGTGTTTGTGTGTGCGTGCGTGTGCGCATCCCATTTTTGGAGCCAGCCATTTATTCATGTTAAACACTTTAGCCCGGGTATGCTAGCAGCCCATTTGCCAGCGCTTTCTGTTTTCCTCATGGTGCAGATTTCTTTTTTTGGGACGCCGCACTTATTTCCTTGGCCACTAACCCCAAAACTAACTTTTGTGTGTGTGCTGATATTAATCGTATTAATTTATCCCGCCTATGCTTTCCCACCCGGAGTAGAATTCCTCTGTTTGGTCCGTACCCTAGGTAAGAGGCTCTGTTCTTTTGTTCTCTCCGTGTCGTCCTTTGTGGTCTGAAGAAAAAAAAAAAAGGCTCCTTGATTTTTTTCACGTCTTTGGATCGGCGGCGTTTTCTGACCTCGTTTCTCTTTTTCGGCAGCCTGCTGAAGAAGATCGAGCGGCGCGCGACGGGGCGGGAGAGCGGCATCTCGCTCATCGCCACGGTCACCCGATTAATGGAGAGGCTGCTGGACTACAGGTGGGGAGGCCTCGGTCGCTACGGATCGTTTCCGAGGGGAATTGACGATTTATTTTTCGATTTATTAACGATACCTTTATTGATTTGATTTTCCACTCCGACCTGCTTTGGTGCGCTTGTCACAGGGACTGCATGAAGCTGGGAGAAGTGGACGGCAAGAAAATAGGTTGCACCGTCAGTTTGTTGGTGAGTTACGCGGCAACGCCGAAACTCGGGATTTGTGCGGGTTCAAGAACTCTGGTGCTGTGTCGCCTCTGCCCAGAACTTCTATAAAACGGAGCTCAACAAGGAGGAAATGTACATTCGGTACATCCACAAGCTGTATGACTTGCATCTCAAGGCACAGAACTACACAGGTAACGGATCTACGTCCACGAATACCCACATAATCATTTTTTTTTTTTTTTTATTAGTTTTTGTGTTGGGGAAAGGGCTTCTTTTCAGTTTTCTTTTTTATTAGCTTTAATGTTAGTTTTAGGGTTTTTTTTTTTTTTTTTTAATATGCAGAGTGTTTGTTTTGTGGCATGCTTTTTGAATAACCTTGACCCCCCCTCACCGACGCAGAGGCCTCGTACACCCTCTTGCTCTACGACGAGCTGCTCGAATGGTCGGACCGGCCCCTGCGAGAGTTCCTCAACTACCCCATGCAGAGCGAGTGGCAGCGGAAGGAGTTTTTGCACCTCACCATCGTCCAGAACTTTGACAGAGGCAAGGTGAGCGGTGGAAAGCCCTCAATATTAGGACTAATTCTTCAACTTGGAGTTGACCTTGATGTCCACCTTCCCCACCGAGAAACATACTCATCACACTCCAAATAAATCCTGTTAACTTTTTCTGATGGAAAGCCACGCTGCGCATGAGCTCCATGTCAATTGCCCGTGTGCGAAGGATTAGTCAGGAAGAGTCGTCCATTTAATTAGCAAGCTGGCTCCGAGGCCCAGAGTGAGAGAGTTTGCCTCCCCCTGCTCGCTCGTCAACCCACCAGCGCCCCCCAGTGCACGCAGTTCATCTCTGCATCCAAGATTGAGTCGATGCGGTTTTTCGTCACCAGTGTTGGGAGAACGGCATCATCCTATGCCGAGAGCTGGCCGACCAGTACGAGTCCTACTATGACTACCGGAACCTCAGCAAGATGAGGGTGAGAAAAACCTGTCAAATGTCATTCGATTCTCCATTTTGTGGGGGGGGCAAGCGTTCATGCGTTGGTATTCGTGTCACTAGATGATGGAAGCGTCGCTGTATGACAAGATCATGGACCAGCAACGGCTTGAGCCAGAATTCTTCAGGGTGGGATTCTACGGAAAAAAATTCCCCTTTTTCTTACGGGTAAATGACCAAAAAAAAAAAAAAAATGTTCGTCTGTTGTCCTGAACTCAAAAATGTGTCTATCTGTCATTGTGCGTAACCGTTGCATCATGTGTGACCGTTTTTTCTTGCTGTTGTTGCGGTCTTGCTGTAAAAACCGTAAACTCTTCATTTATTTGTCCTCTTGAAAATTCATAAGCCCAAAGGGAGAATTCCGGTTTGCATTCCAAGCGTCCTTGAGTTTGAAGTGATGTTCAATGTCCCTTGCTGTGCAGTAGCGGCGTGCCTCCACCAGATGGCAAACTAACCCCACACTGCTTTTTGCTGCCTCGTGCCTCCCCCCCCACCTCTCCCCAACCCCCCCTCCCAGAACAAGGAGTTTGTGTGCCGTGGCCACGACTACGAGAGGCTGGAGGCCTTCCAGCAGCGGATGCTCAACGAATTCCCACACGCCATCGCCATGCAGCACGTCAACCAGCCGGACCAGACCATCTACCAGGCCGATGCGCAGTGTATCCTTTTCCAAACTCTCCCCTTTTGCCTTCGCATGCTTTGCAACTGTTTCCGCAACGTGAAATTATACGATCATCGGGACGGGTAAGGCGCGCATCCTCTAACTGGCGTTGCGGGTGTCTTCAAACGCGTAAGCGGTGCGTAGGCCTGTTTAGGGCTTCAGTGCGCCGCTTGGGTACAGTGGAGCGGAAACACACGTAAACACGGACCAGTGGAAGCGAAGGAGAGGACCGAGTAACATCAATCAATGTTGCGGTTTTTATTGACACTTTTACATGAATTGCATAGCATCCTGATTTCGTTTTGTTTCTTTTAGTAGGTCGAGATATTCACCATTGAATATCCGACTTGATGCTTTATCACTTGCTTTGGGGCCTGTAAGAGAGTGCACAGGCGAGAGGTTCCCGGTACGAATTTCGGCTCAGACCCTCCTGTGTGGATTTTGCATGTTGTCTCCAAAAAAAAAAAAAAAAAAAAAATCATGTTGGAGTCATTGAAGAATTTAAGTTGCCCATCGGTGTGTCAGAAACGTTCCGGGACAGAGGTTAGCTTGCGGCGACATCCGAAAGTGGTTTCCCTTAAAAGGCGACGCTTCCAGACTTGCAGATCTACGCCGTGACGCCGATCCCCGAGAGTCAAGATGTGCTGCAGCGCGACGGCGTGCCCGACAACATCAAGAGCTTCTACAAGTTCAATCACATCTGGAGGTTCCGATACGATCGGCCCTTTCACAAGGGCACCAAAGACAAGGAGAACGAGTTCAAGGTAATCCCCTGAGCCGGCGATTCCCCGACCGGGCGCGCTGATCGAAATGATCCCATTTCACTCAGTTGGTTGAGAAATTATCTTTCCCCATTCGCATGCCAATCGCGGTGATCATTGATTGTGCCGCTGCAGAGCCTGTGGGTGGAGAGGACGACCCTGACGCTGGTCCAGAGTCTTCCCGGCATCTCGCGGTGGTTCGAGGTGGACAAACGAGAGCTGGTGAGCTTGAAAAACGACAACAGCCGTCATTCACCAGACGCCAACCTCATCCACTTTGGAGTTTGCAGGTTGCCGTTGGGAGCGCAGCCCCCGTATTGATCCGAGCCGTTGCATCGAGCAACGGTGACGGCCTCAGTCATGAGTTTTTGGTCTTATTGGCTGCGTGGAATCATTTTCGGCCTTTGTTGGGTGTCATGCAAAAATATATATATATATATATATATTCCCGTTTGCTTTCATGACAAATGATCCATTTGTGAGAGGAACGGGAGTTTTCTTTTTCCTCCCCGCCGTCGTCAGCGGCCGCCCTTAAATGCGTATGTCAGCGTCGATAGATACTTTGTGCATATGCGCATTGAAGAGCGCGCCGGGAAATTGTGGATTACAAAAGCGGCGAGGACAGCTCGGTGGCGCGATAGCATATGAAATATGGCAGTGGCAAAAAAGCTCTATTCAAGAGGATTAAGGCATCGCTGCGGCAGGGGAAGAAAAAGAAAGAAATACCTAAATGTGGCGTGAGTGGAAGAACCCTTTTTCTTTTTTTTTTTTTTTTTTTTAAAGCCTCATCTTGAAGGTTGACCCAATACTAATTAGCACTTGCAAACATTGCACCCCCTCCTCAAAGCGACTGCGCTTTTTTCCGCCACACAATAAAGACAAAGATGATAAATGCGAAAGGTGACGAAAGGCATTTTATCGTCTCGAAGCACATTGTGTGGGTTTTGTGGCCCGCAAACGACTCCTCTGTTAGCCGTACGCGCAGGCAGTTGGCTCGCTCATTCAAACGACTTTAATCACTCCGCGCGGCGGCGCATTAAAAGTAAACACCCGCTTATTGCCCAATGCTTAAAGCGCAAAATGTGCAAGAAATGGTGCCCGGGTTGAAAAACACCTCTGCTTCCCAGGACATATTAGCAATTAGCCTGTGAGCATAAGGCGCACTGAGCTCAAATTGGAAATTAGCAACGCGATCACACATTAAAGAACCGCAAGTAATTGCTGACTTCAATTTGCCAAGCGTAAGTAGTTGTTTGCCACCGAAAAGGCCGCATTAAGGATATTGATAGCTTCCGTCGACTGCGCCCGAGCGAGCGCCGCGAATGTAGCTTCGGTCTAACCGCTGGCATACCATAACGGCAGCGGTGGGGCGATCGGAGTCGGCAATTCGAAGCCTTACTCGGGCAAACCTTGAAGAGACTCGCCATGAGTTGGGCTTTAGCATTCATGAAAATCGACTCAACTTGAACTTGACACGTTTTTGCTGGGTTGCACTTCTCATCGACGTGTTGGAATATTGCTACCTACAGGTGGAGGTGAGCCCACTGGAGAACGCCATCGAGGTGATCGAGAACAAGAACCTGCAACTGCGCACGCTGATTGCGCAGTGCCAAAGCCGGCAGATGCAAAACGTCAACCCCCTCACCATGTGCCTCAACGGGGTCGTCGACGCCGCCGTCAACGGCGGGCTGGCCCGCTACCAAGAGGTAAC